GCCAAGTCTGGGGATCTTGACCAGTATGGATCAGGAATAATCGCCCGGCCATTCCAAGTAGGAAGGAATCTTTGCCACCAGGCGATATCGCGGCGAGCCTCGAGATTCATGGAAATGTGATGGTGGGGGAGCCTAGCAGTTGTACTTAGGTCAATAAGGCGACGCAGGAATATGCGCCCCGCAGGGACGACGCGACAAGCAAAGTTAAGTTTGCCGATGAGGGACAGCAACCCGCGCTTAAGGCACTTTTTACGAGACGTTCGCATTTCAGATCAGTCTGGGTCAGGGCTATCTCTATACAACAACAAAGATGGCGGCCGAGTTTGCTGTGCTGTTGGACGTTTTAGCAGACAACTACTTTGAAAAGAAATGATTTCTTTGGAGACGAAGAGGACGACTTAATTCTTTTTTGCCGCAGCATCCACATTTGCAGAGAAATTTGAATCGGATCCAGGGATTTTTTGAGCAGACGATACCTACGTATTTTTTGGATGAATTTAAAGCCCATTTCCGTATGCAGAGGGCAACTTCCTTCTCATCTGTAAGGCCACAGCGGTGTTGCAAGAAAACCGATAACAGTGGGGACGAAAAGAAACATCTGTTACAGCCATAAACGGTCTACATCTGCAGAGATTTGTCATTCGCCATTTTGCATTTCTTCTCGGAAATGTTGCCGCAGGGAGCCTGCCATCAAGTTATTGCTAAGTGGTACGGAAATTTTCGGAAACTTCAGTTGAATCTGGAAAAGTAATACCTCGGAAGGTATTACTCTTTTCCCGAAAAAAATTCAGCTGAATGAACCGTACCATTTGAATTCACGCCAGAATAACCGTTTTTCCTTACAAATGGTAAGCGCTCTACCCCTGGATGTAGCTATAGTCTACAATTTCCGAACGGATTTTCCGGAAAATTACTTTTCCATTTGACTTTCATTCGAAATTTTTGGAATTTTTTTGCTAAATGGTAAGCACCCCACGTGTCAATTTTTACTGTTTATCCTTAACACCCTATAGTCCAGCGAAGTTTACAAAGTGAATACATTTCCATGAATTCAGTTTTAGAGAAAACACTTAGTTTCGACCCCCCAAAATGCATTTTCTTGCAGTTCCGGCTCAAGATAAAGTATCACAACAAAATCAGCGTTCTCGTTTCTTTCTACATCTATTCGCTCCAATTCGCAGTTCGTTTGTCTGAAATTCTGAACTCTCGCGTTGTGGAGACTTGCTGTATTGTTAAGACTTCTTTCAACCTTTTGTTGAAAATGCGTTTGGTGCAGTCATAACGAGTAACATTTCACGAGGAAGACTCCCTTCGCATTCACCACACGAACGTGGCTACAGCCACGGATACCGTTGGTCGGATTGTTTTATCGTCGCTTTCAGAACTGGAACAACACGTAATATTTGTTAACTCTAATTCCTAAAATTACTGGGCAAGATTTCCGTATAACCATTATGCATACAGCTCTTTGTTTAACTAAACAATAGCGGAAACAATAGAGCTCCTTTGAGACCTACCCGCTTTCAATAACTGTAACTATATTTGTGCAACTATAAAATTCGTCTCGCATTCTTTTAGACTGAGTTTGCACTAGCCACAAGTAAACATTGCGTACCTTTTGTTTCTTTTATTTGCGAACAAAACACAGAATATTCACTTCCCAGTCATAGCTTAAAGCAATTTGATGCATGACAGCAATCAATATACGGGGTAGCTATTAATGTTGTTATTAGTCTGCGTTTTGCTTTTTACAATTACAAAAATGTTACAGTAAGAGTCAAGCATGCGGCAAGAAAACGAAACGTTGACGATGATCAAAACACTTTTACGTTTATCGATCTATTTACAATGACCACGAGCAATTTAAAACTCTCCTTATTCTGCGTATTAAGTCTGGATAAGCTCAGGAAGCCTCCATGTTTAAATTCAACATTAAAACCTCCACTTAACAACATGAACACGTAAATTAATTTATAGAAAGCGACCTCATTCCAATATGTCTACCACGACATTTCTGTTGATTATAAATAAAAAGCGCATCAAAGAAATTTGCAAATTTTCGATGGAGCTCTTAAGAGGCAGCAATCCATCACGTGTATGTACAACTGCTTTGTATATATAAAAAGGTTTTTTATATACATTACAAAGTACTTCCCTCATTATCAACCTTACCGTAGCGAATAAAAAAAAGCGAACAACAACTTCAAGAAACAAACCAAAAAAACAAAGAAATCAGAACAAGAAAAGAGAGAACGACATAGAAAAAAGTGTTTTCTTTCGGTCACTGCCATACTGCAACAAGGTCTGCTTTGTATTACTACTGCTAACGATAAACTGACTGCCAACTTGAGATGAATAATAATTACTCTGTCACAAAAGTAACGAGATCACACACGGCACAGTTGAATGCAGTTCCTTTCCGGCTATTAAGCAGCCTGTGAACATAAATATCACAAAACTTAGTATGACAGAATTAAGAGATACGTTGAGAGATACCAGTTTTTAACCATAAATGATATTAAGCGATTTTTTCCCACGATTTAGTAGTTTCCCCGGTTTAAACTTCCGTTAGTCTAGGTGCGGCGCTAAGAACAGTAAGTGAAAAAGACTAGGAGTTCTCTCTTTCCAATATTTTCCAACTGGTCTTTAGCCTTCATGAGCAACTTCGCACGATGAGGATTCTGTTGCTAAGTTAGTTCCTGACGCGGCACCCGAACTAACCAAAGAGGCTAAAATTTAGCGACTATTAATTTATGGATTATTCGATTCATTGTGGTGATCGTCTACGCACTTTCCGTTTTTAATGTTAGCACTTTCTTGAAAACAGTAAACGATAAAAAAGTAACTTCAAGATAAACATCTCTGCTCGTTGATATTTAGTTAACAGAGCACACTGCAGTGTCAAGACAAGTGGAATGAGCGTTGTCCCTCCAGAGCAGCCAGCTTTAGTTTACTGGCCATGATCTCTTTGCTGGAATAGTCCGGCAGCTTCAAGTAGTTCACGCAGGTCATCACAGATGGCAAGTAGTTATCAGCACACAAGGGAGGCTCAAATGACTTACGAACTATGGTCAGTGGTGGGTTCAGACTGCGCAGGCCTAAAACAAACAAATATAACACTGTTTACTTCAAAACAATAAAAAAAATGTTTGGCGTCTATAGCATTTTAAGAGTAACTTAAAATTAACATAATACGCCCTACGGAAAATTAAGCCCCCACTTTTCCATAAGAGCTCATACGCACCGCCACACCCCAAATGCAAGATCAGCGGCTGCTAGATAGGCCATCTTACCTCCGACAGGTAGCCTTGGGCTGCCTGTGACAAACTGTAAAAACAGTCTCTGCTCTTCCTGTGTATAGCAGCTTAGAATTTCAAACAAAATCTTCACCGCGCGACTGTCAAAATTAAAACAAAGTGATCACAAATTAAACATGCATTCTAGTTAAGCTGGTGTACATTACTATGATAAGCCATGATAAACAAACTATTCTGACGAGATCAATATTTACGAGAGAAAGAAAGTGAAGAAATCGACGTAATGGCTTGAAAAAGAAATACATCCAGACGCGAGCAGGTGGATAATACTGATAAACTGAACACATAACATTGCAAGTGAAGGAACAGGAATCTCACCTATCGTGGGTGTAGCCATGGTCAGGTCTACAGCTCTCAACAAGACCTGAAATAACACACAAAGATGACCGTGACTACACAGTAAAACACCCGAGTCACAATTTGATAAACGTGTCAATGCTGTACAAGCAACTGTCAGCGTCATTAGCAAAAAATCGTCAAAACGTCGATGAAAGTTAGTAGGTAAGCAACTTTAGTCTTACGGAGTAATTTTCGAGGCGGAAAACGGGAGCCAAGGGAAATGACAACATAACAACTATCATTGACTTGGCGTCAGCTTGATAAAACCACTATCGTATTCTCGGTATTGGACTGGAACTAGCATGCAACTGAGGCTAATGTGGGGAGTCTTGTCAAATGCAAATGACATTAATGACAGTAATGATATTCCCCCGCATGAGCCTCCATTGCAAGCTAGTTCCAGTCCATTACCGACAATACGAATATGGCCAATTGTGCGGCTTGGATTTACTCCTAAAGGCTGATTTCAATATAATCGCTGCGATCACTACAATCGCTGCAAAAAAGTTCAACGCTCGTTGCGATCATATCAAAACCACTCTCCACCGATTGATCGTTGCTATAACGATCGTCGAGATGGACTTTTAAAAGTTCTATTTCAACGATAGTAGCGATGATAAGAAAACCAATCTTAAACTCACACGAGCCACTGAAAAATTGAACTAAATACAGAAGCATTCACACGCATCAGAAGTAGATAGTTAAAAAACAAAAGGAACCGTACATTTGATGTCCCACTTCTCGGCTACATTACCACAAAGGACCAGCTCCATCTGTAAACGACATTAAAAACAGTCACACAGGCTAACAAACACAAAGCAAGTGTGATTTACATCTACAACTTAATTATCAACATGTAGCTAGTAAAGCGAACGTAAACGTCGCAGCAAACATATCAAATAAGCAAAAGTTCTGATGGATTAGCAAACTTACAGAGGAAAATTTCATACAATACTAAGCAATATTTGAATCACTGAAAATCGTCTTCACTGGATATGCCGCTCCAGATTGATTGGTTGAACGAGGTAATACCTAAGAAGTTAATATATTTTTACTAGCTTTCTGGAAAACGTCCGTTAGTTTTCCTATTGTTCAAGAAATCAAGATATAACATTGAAGGGACTGAATATCTCAGAAAAAACGTCTTGATTCAAAATGTAACTCTCCTTAAGCGAATTACATGGTATTAATAAGGATAAATTACCTCAGTGTAAGAAAAGCTAGTTAGGTTTGAGAGAGGCAACACTGAGTTAAAGCCTTCACGCAGAGCGTCCATTTGACGTCTGACGCCAGTGACAAGAGTCCACTGTACAACCAGCTGAAACAAATTAAATGATATACAAAGTATAAGCAAATACCGTCGTCGTCGTTGTTTTTTGTTGTTGTTTGTTTCACATCAACCTTTCGTCTCGATATCAAGCTTATTCGAGTAAAGCCTAGTTCACACTAGGCGACATAAACATCACGACATAAGAAGGACGTTATGTCGTTACGTTTGCAGTGTGAACATCCTGACATAATGACATGATAGCACCATAACAGCATGAACATAACGATAAAAGGAAAATCCTGATCTTTTCCTTATGTCGCTAGTGTGAACCAGGCCTAACTCAGAATCTAGAATCAAAATCAGAACTTTTTATGAAAACAAAGAACATTACAATTTGGGTATTAAAAACTTTCACAGGGGTGTCAAATAAAAGAAGTCCATTCAATCAAACAAGCCAAAGCTACCTTAACGTATTCTTCCAAGTCATGAATAGTGACCGTCATGTCCTTACCACCTCGCTGAAATAAAGACAAATCAATAGCAACAACTGAGCTAAAACATTTGACAGTTTGTTTTTGCTTATCCACAACTGTACTACTGTGAACTCAGACGGTATGTCAAAATTAGCATCAATTAAAGTTATTTAACAATTAGACCCGCAGCCTGCAAGG